GTTAGCCAGGATAGTCTCGATCTCCTGACCTCGTGATCCGCCCGTCTCGGCCTCCCAAAGTGCTGGGATTACAGGCTTGAGCCACTGCGCCCGGCTGTTTATTTACTTTTTGAGATGGAGTTTTGCTCTGTTGCCTAGGCTGGACTACAGTGATATGATCTTGGCTCACTGCAACCTCTGCCTCCTGGGTTCAAGCGATTCTCCTGCCTAAGCCTCCCAAGTAGCTGGGACTACAGGTGTGTGCCACCACGCCTGGCTAATTTTGTATTTTTAGGAGAGACAGGGTTTCACCATGTTGGCCAGGCTGGTCTTGAACTCCAGACCTCAGGTGATCTGCCCACCTGGGCCTCCCAAAGTGCTGCGATTACAGGCCTGAGCCACTGCACCCAGTCTATTATTATTATTTTAGAGACAAAGTGTCACCATGTTGCCCAGGCTGGTCTTGAACTCCTGAGCTCAAGTGATACTTCTGCCTTAGCCGCTCAAAGTGCTGGGATTACAGGCCTGAGCCACTGAACCTGGCTGGTTCACATGATCTTTATAATATTCCCCAACTTCCTGTATTCTGTATGTTTGGATGGTTGTTCTACAAACATTCAGTACAAAGCGCTATGCTAGACCCTGATTAATACACTGCCCCCAAAGGGTTCACAGGTATTGCCAAAGATAGACAAGCTATTACAATGTGATAGGATAATTTGATGATAGTGGGCAGTACAAACCGCTTGAATGCCACAAAGAAAGCTAAGTAAAGACCTTTTCTCGGTCAGCAGAGGTTTCACAAACACAACTTCCATGTGCCACAGTATGGTCATGGGTGTGGATGGCTGAACTGACATGGAGATGGTAAACAGAGGAGTTGAAGTGAGAAGTATAGGGCCAGGGGTGATAGCCTTCCCCAAAGTTTGTTTCTGAAAGTTACGAGGTATGGCGCTCAGAAGGGTCTGAAAAATGTGACTGGCTAAGAAGGTAAATTCTAACTGGGATTTGTCAGCATCTCAAAAGAGCCACGCCATAATCCCATCCCCATGATAAGGACTGTGAACATATTGGGAAAGGGGATGAGGAGGGGTCAACCTATCTTGGATCTGCTACAGTCCCATCCATCAGCTATTCTTGACACATTCTATGGGTGGCTATATCCATTGGCCAGGATCCTTTGGTTGCAAGCACTGGAAGCTGGCTCTGGCTAACCTCATCAGAAGAGGAATTTATGGCAGGATGTGGGGTGGCTCCTGGAATTGAAAGAAGGGCCAAAGGACCAGCCATCAGAAGGATAAGACCTGGGTCAGCGTCGGGGATCCATGGAGCAGGAACTCCAAGGCATACGGTTTGGGATGATGACCCATTCTTGTCTCTTGTGTCACTCATCTCAAGATAAAATTTCCCGGGGAAAGAACTTAAGCCTCATGACCACCCTCTAACCAGAGCACCTTGATGATATAGTCCATCAAGATGGCAACAAAGTGGGCATGAAATCCTCAAAGGCAATTGAAGTCCTAGGACAGAAAAGTGGAGAATGGGTTCTGGCCAGGCCACAGCAACAGAGACACACTGGACAATCTCCATATGTTACACATTTTGGGATCCCAAAGCCTCAGGTATACTTGCTACTTAGTGGGTGCTGAAGTTGCCCAACTTCCACCTCTGCCTGCTGGATGTAAGGCAGAATTGTTTCCTGACTCTCCTTAATACCCATGACACTTTGTCCTTACTGGTATTAAACCAATTACAATAGCTTGTTAGAGTTTTTCTTTTTTTGTTTGTAGGTATTATACAGAAAACAAGTGCAGAAATTAAAGATTTTGGTTTACACAAATAAACTTGTTACCTCTCTGCCTCTGTCCTTCAGAAGATGCAGTGGAGGAGATGTCCAATCTGTTGTCAAGGGATAGCCCCATTCCCAGAGCCTTTGCTCTTTTAATTATCACCTCTCTCCTTTATCTTTACCCTCTCTGTCTCTGTAGTTCCTCATTACATTTAACCGTGCTCATAGGGTAGTGAGAATTAATACATGTAAAATACTTAGAACAGTGCCTTGCACACAGTAATCACTCAGTAAGTGTTAGCTGTTATTATGAGTGAGACCAGTAGTCATCAGTTCCCCACACCTTTACTGCGATCAGTTCTCCCACGGAGGGATCACGTTCATAATAAAGAAAATTGCAAGATGGGGGAAATAAGAGCTATCAGAGCACATAGCAGAGGTCCTAGCCTGACCTAATAATTGGGAGATTTCTAGATGAAATGGAAACATTTCTAGTGAAGGGGTAAAATATTTTCAACAAAATTAGAAATGAGGCACATAGTATTTAGTAAGGATTACATATTATCATTATCATTACCTATCTCATAAATGCTACAGTTCTTCAGGGTCCTTTATGCCCTCTTCTAAATTTACACACTCTGGGGTGATTTTTTTTTCCCCCTATGCAGAACTCATGTTGAAATTCCTGGGTGACTTTATCCACTCTTTCGAGTTGAACCATTTAAATAGTGATGACCTTTAATTTAATGTATTTCTTTAAATTTTATTATTATCATTATTATTATTTGAGACAGAGTCTTGCTCTGTTGCCCATGCTGGTGTGCAATGGTGCCATCTCACCTCACTGTAACTTCCACCTCCTAGATTCAAGCGATTCTCCTGCCTCAGCCTCCCGAATAGCTGGGATTATAGGTGCCTGCCACCACGCCTGGCTAATTTTTGTATTTTTAGTAAAGACAGAGTTTCACCATGTTGGCCAGGCCGGTCTCGAACTCCTGCCCTCAGGTGATCTGCCTGCCTCGTCCTTCCAAAGTGCTGGGATTACAGGCATGAGCCACTACACCCAGCCAACCTTTAATTTTATACCTCTAGTTTTACTGGGCCCCAAACCCACTTGGATTTCTTCCTTCTTTCCTTTCTTTTTTCAACAATGAATGCCTGCTGTATACCAGACACTGAAGAAAAGAGCAGAAGGCATCATAGGGGCTTGAACTCTGGATGATGTCTTTAAGAGACAAGACGTTTAAACCAGCCATATGCCATAGACATCTCAAGCTCAACATGTCTAAAGTACTCCACCCCACCTCTAGCCAGCTCTCCTCTGTTGTTTCCAGATTTGGTAATGGTTCCATCATCAACCCAAATGCCCAAGGTTTAAACCTGGGAGGGTTCCTTGCCAGCAGCTCTCTCACCTCCCATACCTGTCCTACCAAAGCTATCTCCTAAATATTTCACATTGATGCACTCCTTACCCACTTCTGCCACTACAACCTCCTAACTGGTTCTTTGTCTCCTGTCTTGCTTCCCTCTGTATTTCACCCTATGCACTAGGACCAGAGTAATCTTTCTAAAGCAAAAATTAATGTTTCACCACTCTCCAGCTTAAACCTTTAATTGGCTTCCTCTTGCTCTTTCATGAGGTCCGAGTGATCTGGTCCCAGTTACTGGTCCCAGGCTTTGGCTTTTCCTGCTTCTCATGCTCATCTCTCTACCTAGTATAGTTTCCCGTCAGTGGAATAATTCCTGCTCTTCGGATACTAGTTTAAACCTCACTTCATCTAGAAATCTTGATGAAGAATTACATGGGACCAGGGTAGGACCTCTGCTATGTGCTCTGATAGCTCTTGATTCCCCATATTTTTCAATTTCCTTTATTCAATAAGTAATTGCATTTGGAAGGGGGTTGTGAGTCGAAAGCCTGTCTATTGGGTACTCCACTCAGTATCTGAGTGCCATATACCCATGTAACAAACCTGCATATGTACCCCCTCTATCTAAAATGAAAGTTTAGGCTGTTCTGCCTATGGAATAGCCCTGCTCTGTCTATGGAGCAGCCATTAAAATAAAAAATAAAAGTTGAGAAAAAACATACATGCCAACTATCTAGTGTTACTCATGTGTGGGCACTGCTCTAGGCACAATGATCAGTCCCTGTTCTTTTTATTTATTAATTTATTATTATTATTATTTGAGACAGAGTCTCGCTTTGTTGCCCAGGCTGGAGTGCAATGGCGCCATCGAGGCTCACTGCAACCTCCGCCTCCCAGGTTCAAGCAATTCTCCTGCCTCAGCCTCCTGAGTAGCTGGGATTACAGGCATGTGCCACCATGCCCAGCTAATTTTTGTATTTTTAGTAGGACAGGGATTCACCATTTTGGCCAGGCTGGACTCAAACTCCTGACCTCAAGTGATCCACCTGCCTCAGCCTTCCAAAGTGCTGGGATTGCAGGC